TCCAATAAGGCCGAGCGCCAGGCAGGGTCCAACAAGTACCATATTTTAACGTCTTTTTGGTATGTCGCGATCGGGATCGAACCAACGACCTTCCGCTCTCCGGGCGGACGCTATAACCACTACACCGCGGAGGCGGTCACTTTACTTGGAAATGTGATACAACTTACTTGGATGGATAAGCGGCAATACGGATAAGTAGCAACTTTTGCCACTGTCCCTTGGAGTTTTACTTATCCGGGTTTCACTGTATTCCCGTAATGGAAGTAGGGCATATTCATTTAAAGGTATCACAACTGTTTAAGTTATATTAAAGAACCACTAAACTTTGTTTTTTGTTACTCTTTTAACCATTACATATGAAAGATTTGTGGTTAGTCTTATGCGGAACACCAAATTTATTCTTTAAAAACTTGTGGTTAATTAATACCGAGCGATTAAAAGTGGCCAAAAAGTCGCCTGCTTCCCTCTCGCCCGCCAACGAAACCACAGACAGGTTACGTAACTCTGTCGCCAGAGCACTGCAGTGACGTCATATGAGGAACGATTTTCAGTGAGTTGTATAGAAAGTGTGTAGCACGCTCATCATTTTGATGATTTCTCGACATGAACGACGACATGCCGAATCGTTGCTTTGTCGTCAATTGCTCCTAGGGTCGGGTGATGGTGTCACCATGCACAGATTTCCACAGGATCCCGCAGTTCGTGCTAAATGGGTTATGTTTGTGAGTGCGAAGCGAGCGTTGTGGAAGCCTGAAACGATATCTTACTTGTGTTCAGATCGCTTCACGGAAGTTAAAGAATCAAAACTACTTACTAGTTATAGTAAAATATGTATATGATTGATGACCATAAAGATTTTCCATAACACAACTTGTAACATAACGATTTCTTCCTCGGAAGTGAGGTTGTGGTCGAAGTAACAATAATATTGTAAGTAGTATTATATTGACACCCACCTCGCTGCCAGGAGAGAAATTGTTATGTTATACGCTATGTCATGCAAAATCCTATTGGCCATCAATAAAATACATATTTTACTACCAGTAGAAAGTAGTTTTGATTTTGTAACTCGGTGAAAACAAACCTAAATAGCATTTATCCACAGACTGGCGGATGTTCCCGACAGGGCGCCGCCATTTTTGAAAATCGTAAAGTCTGTTAGAACTAATGAGATTATAGTTTGTTTTCATCAAGCTAGAAAATCAAAACTACTTTCTACTCGTAGTTAAATATGTATTGGAATCATAACCAAAAGGATTTTGCATGACACAACTTATAACATAACGATTTCTTCCACGGAAGCGAGGTGGGGGTCGAAGTCACAATACTGCGCGATAAATTTCTTGCTACATTCACATGGTTAATGTCCACTCACCAGTATGTAGATACTAGTCAATGTGCGTCTTTATATTTGGTCTTATAATCCTGATTAATTTATTATCATACTTTTATGCATTTTGAAACTAAATAAAAAGCTGACGATCTGCTGATACTTATAGTGAATTTATAACAGAAATGTAATATCTAGACATTTTATAGTTTGCCAATGTGAATCATAATTCGCACACACACCCTAGTGTATGTTGTCTGTCTCATTACACTTCACGGCGAAAACAATGATTCTGTTGAATGCTACGACAAATGATTAAAAAACAAAATGCAAATATTAAAATTAAAACAGATTAAAGTTATAGGAACAATATCAGGCCATTACCTTGTTTGAGGAATGTATCCATCAATATCCACAAAACTGTTCCAAATGATGTGTCTTTTAACAGTTTAATATACGAAAAAGTGATAAATCTTTTCAGGTATTGGTGTATAGTCTCATTGGTCACCCAAGATAGCACACCTGGCAACTAATTGCATAATGTCCGCCTTTAATTAAAAACAGTAATTTAGTGAGCCAATAATGGGCAATCAATCAATGTATTGCCGGTTAATCCTTTGAAAGAAGGACGTTGTTTTTACGCAGACACCGACATGGCAGAGTGTATTCAGTATAGATTAGTAAATCTACATACATAAACACTACCTTTTGACAATTCCGCTGTGTAAGATAAAAGTAATTAATCAATCAGCGTGTTATCGGTTAATCCTTTGATCGATGTTCATAATGTTGAATATTTACTCCAGACACAAGAAATGCCAAATGGGAACCTTTGTCGGGTAATCTAAGTGTGTTACCACTAATTATACCTGTTATAAATTCATTAACTGACCATCAAGTGAATGATGACAAATAACATGTGTGGGTTTATACCACCTAACACGGGTTACAACAAGGGAGTATTAATTGCTGTATTGCATGTGAAAACTTATGGGCCGACACTGTTTTGAGAATACAAACAGATTTTTACATGACATGATTAAATATCGAGGTAAAAAAACACAGAAATGGGTTCAATTTGGATCAGTCATTATACAAATAGGGCCTAACGACACCAATCAATTGTGACAGAAGCGTCCATGAAAACAAGTTGTAACTCGGAAACTAGGCAAAGCAGGAGACAAAATTAAATGCCAGTAGATTGTGAGAACATATAGCTTTCATTTTCCACAACAATTGTCACGATTTCAGGTTTATACAAGCCTGTAAACAAGATAATTTACCCCCTAAAATGTAGATGAATTCTGCATCGGCCCTCAAAGCTATTCCTCATATGACGTCACAGAGTCGCGCCGCTCTGATTGGTTGAAATTTCGTTCGCGGGTGAGAATTGTGCACTGTTGTCAAAAAGGTCGATTTAAGTCAATTAAAGGTCGAAATGAGTAGTTTTAATGACGGGGTTTCATTTATAACGATGCCAGTTAGTGATTTATGTATTTTAACCCCCTAGGGTTTATGTGACCTTTAAAGCGTTTGCTCGTCACGCCGAAGACCCGGGTTCGATTCCTCACATGGGTACAATGTGTGAAGCCCATTTCTGGTGTCCCCCGTCGTGGTATTGCTGGGATATTGCTAAAAGCGGTCAGTCAGTTTAAGTTATATATGTTTGCTTTATGATTTTGTTATAAAAGTTTGTTAAATGATTTTTTTATATGATTTTGTTATATTACAGTCAACGTCATTTACCATTTTCATTTTATATTTATATGTGAATGTTATTATAATCTAAGAAACTGTTATTTACCATAAATGTACAACGACAATCCGTCTATCTGTACATTTCAATTGTTATCTTCTACAGTAACTGAATTATGAAATACTAGTAATCTGTGTAAATATTTATGTTTGAGGTTTGAGCTAAGGTAGCTGCTGGTTAATGGATAATATATTTGTATTCCATCACGCCCCTTGTATTTCAATTTGATATGACTTTTCCTTACAGTCGTGTAATGTGTACTATCATGACAAGCACACTGGGACCCCTAACTGTGCTTCATTATATGTATATGTTCATGAGTGGACAACATAGCCTGCAAGAAATTTCTCGGGGTAAAGATGAACACATCAAATGTTACGGTATATGGGGAATGTGGTAGATACCCGCTCATCATATCTTCACAAATCCGGACGATTCAATATTGGATAAGGTTATTCAGTATGCCATCCTACCGTTTAACAAAAAAATGCTGTTATATGATGTTACTATATGACAAAGAAGGTAAAAAGAATTGGATAACAGATGTTAAACACCTACTTTTTTCAACAGGATTTAATCATTTATGGTATGAACAGAACGTTGAACGTTCGTCATTGTTTCTAAATACATTCACGCAAAGAATATTAAAAGATATTTACCAGCAAAATGGTTGGAAACAATTTCAGTAGCTACAAAATGTAATTATTACTCAATCCTTAAAACACACATTTATACTGAACGTTATTTATGTGTTAATGTTAAGAAATATAGAATAGCTTTAGCTCGTTTCCGTTGTTCATCTCATGGTTTATTAATTGAAAAGGTAGGTTAATGAATATGAAAAGAGAGGATAGAATCTGTAGATGTTGTAATAATACTGTTATAGAAGACGAATAAGAAAGTGTCCACAGTGCAGAGAGTTTCTGGACTTTTGTGAGTCCAGAATTAAATTGTGACCTGTTATATCAATTTCTACTACTATGCCCAGCATATAATACTATACGTAAAAATATATTAAAGAACTCTATTTTATCCATCGAACAATCGATAAAGTTTCTTCTCTATTGAATTCTTAAAATGAATTTGTAATTAAAAATGTTGCGGTTTTCATTTATCAAGCCATGTTGATTAGAAAATTGTATATATGAAATGTACTATAGGCCTGTGGCGTTCTCAGTATTGAAATAAATATTGATTGAGTAGACAAAATGGGAGAGGTAGGTCATGTTTGGAAGATACCCAACGTCTATTTAGTTCGTTATAATATCAGTTCGTTAGAACCATTTCGACTGAAATGTTCAGCAAAATAAAGATTGTCGTTATAGACGCATATTACTTAGAGTACTGTATTGTGTCCAAATGTAAAATGAATCTTTGTCACAGCAGGACTTTGTGCATGGGAAGAATGCCCCTGGGACAAGGCGATATTACAAGGCGATAGTACTTAGAGTACTGTATTGTGTCCAAATGTAAAATGAATCTTTGTCACAGCGGGACTTTGTGCATGGGAAGAATGCCCCTGGGACAAGGCGATATTACAAGGCGATAGTACTTAGAGTACTGTATTGTGTCCAAATGTAAAATGAATCTTTGTCACAGCGGGACTTTGTGCATGGGAAGAATGCCCTGGGACAAGGCGATATTACAAGGCGATAGTACTTAGAGTACTGTATTGTGTCCAAATGTAAAATGAATCTTTGTCACAGCGGGACTTTGTACATGGGAAGAATGCCCCTGGGGCAAGGCGATATTCCCTAACACCTCTTCTTGGAACTATTTGATTACGTCATTAGAGGAAGTATAAAATGAATACAAAGTCCAGACACGTACATTATATTCAGGATTAAAGCAAGGTAGTTTACGAGGAACATGTCTCGAGTGCCGAGAGTTAGCAAGAGTTGTGAGTGCAGCGAAGTCATTAGATACCAATGGTCGCGTCGGTGAATAGAAGCAGATACGATGATCAAATATGTCGTAATCGAATGCTAAAGGATTGGACAACCTTGTGTAACATAGCCTGAGGGTATTTAAGCAACATTTGAAGTAGCGTCCAGCTCGACAACGAAATTGAGTACACGTTGTCTGCGGTAGTATCTGAACACTATCTTTGTAGGACAGCTTATCAGTTCAGTGACGCAAGCTCGAAGGTACTCACAGCAAGTATTTCTCCGAGTAAACATAAGTGGATGATAAATCAATCGAGAAGATCGGTACATACCCAGAGTTAAGTATCGATCTTCTACATCTTCAGCGCATACCTGTTTGTGACAGCTTTGGGTTGTCTGGTCTGATTCTGGGCGGATTTATGGAGGGATTACTATATAGAGCAGAACCACTGACTAATACCAACCGTTGTTGTTGAGAAAGGTTTATTGCCGAAACTCCGAATATGAAGTGTTGTCCTTAAAACTGCAGGGCAACGCTGTACCATAGGGGAATTCTACCCAAGAAGACTGTTCGTTCACCACGCGACGTGTGTAAGTAGGTCAATACACCCTGTGTTGGATTGGATACTGCCGCTAGCGCCAGAATAGTAAGTATGTATTTCTGCGTTCAATAAAGCTCGCGAATCCGGGAGGTAATTTTTCCAGTATAATGAATTACTAAATATTGTTTTGGAGCAGAACCGTTATTGAGTTTGGGACACCCTTAACTTGTGTAGCTATTGCTCAACCGATAAGGGATCGTTCATAATTTATGGCTAGTGTGTGTGTGTGTGTGTGTGTGTGTGTGTGTGTGTGTGTGTGTGTGTGTGTGTGTGTGTGTGTGTGTGTGTGTGTGTGTGAGAGAGAGAGAGATAGAGATAGAGAAAGAGAGAGAGAGATGACTTTAAGGGTGGGCCACCCATTTTGTTCTGTGGAGGTAGGGTGGGGTCATCAATTCTGTACAGATGTAGGGGTGAGGGGTGTCAGCAATATTATACACATATATAAAAAAATGTAGGCTTAAAAAATATGGGAAGAGGGAGGGAGGGTCATTGATTTTGTACATGACATGCAGGGAGAGGGGGGTTACTGACTTCGTACAGAAATTTTAGGGGGTGTCACTCACATTGTACGTGCCCCTCCATTAAAATTATCACTCCCTCTAACACACACACACACACCCCTTCATAAATTATGAACGGTCCCTAAAGAAACTATTTTGGAAATTTCAAAACGTACGCCTCATCCTATAAGGAAAACTGCATTCTCAGTAAAGTAAAAACTAAGCCTTCATTTGTAAAAACACCCAACATTTTACTCCTTTTTACGTACAAGCTACAAAAATATATTTCTGTAAATTGTGTACAGAATAAAACTGTAACAAAGTACAACGTCTGGGATTTATTCTGTGGAGTCAACTGGAATATTTATAATCACATTCCAACTAATAAATACTGTTAAGACAGGTTCCATAGCATTTGTTCTTTGAGGGGAATCGATTCCTGGCCTTCGTCGAGACGAGCGAACGCCTTAACCACCAGAACACGACACAGCCCCGTGAAATTTTAATTATTTATTGAAATTGTCTTCACAGAGAGGTATCCTGGTTTGCCGCCAAACAAACACTGTGTATATGTTGCCCGGACCGAAACAAAGATGGAAAACATATTAGCTATGACTTCCTTATGTGGTCAAATGCTGGGCAAAATGTAAAAGCAAATTCTCAGGTACATAGGTGAGTGAGTGAGTTGCCGCACGCAGCAATATTCCAGCTATATGGCGGCGGTCTGTAAATAATCGAGCCTGGACCAGACAATCCAGTGATCAACAGCATGAGCATCGACCTGCGCAATTAGGAACCGATGACATGTGTCAACCAAGTCAGCGAGCCTGACCACCCGATCCGTTAGTCGCCTCTTACGACAAGCATGGGTTACTGAAGATCAATATTCTAACCCGGACCTTCACGGGTATCAGGTACATAGGAACCCAAGGGTATTCATTTGTGAGAGGGTGTGCGATCAACGAGAATTGCGGGTATCCACAGAGTTCAAACCGGTAAATTGTCGGTTAGTGAACCACAGCGTCACTCTTTTACTGTCTGTTCCGAAAACACCCTATTACCCACCTGTATTGGGAATTTAAAGTCACCGTAAATCTCATTGATGAACAAATAGTATTTATTTAAGGTGTTAAAGTTGTAATATAATAAATACAGTTGTATGTGGACTACAATTCCACTTTGCAATTTTATATTTTTAAATTATTATATATTTAATTTTATAATGATTTTATCAGCTACAACACAGTTTGCAGCGAATGCTGTGGGTAAAATATTCTAAATAAACTTCGTCTTAGATGTTTGGCATTTTAGAAGATGCTATTTGATACAGTTACAGTCACTGTACTTTAGTTCTACCAACACAAACAATAAAAAGAAGATGAAACCCAGAAAAGTCTCAATGTTCATAATCTTCCTCTTATTGGTAGGTTGGTAGCTGGACATCACATATACCTGCGTCGTCAGGCACTATGTAAATACTTGACGCGTCCATGCCGAGGTGATATCGGTTGTGAAAATGTCAAGCAGACCTTCGGAATCGACCGATGTTAGGGTTGCGTTTTCGCGAACTGATCCTCTGAATTGTTTTAATTAAAATATTCCTAGTAAAGTCTGATGTTTGAATTCAAGATTCGCTGTGTTTGGGCGATCTTTTCTCTTGCATTGCTGAAGACATCATTTATGCAACTTTGGTATTTCGTAGCATACAGTAGAGCTCGTTGTTGAAGTACTTGTTGCATATGATCACTTAAACAATTGCTGGAAAGCTCTGTCCACATCCAAGGCCTCACAAAAGATTAAAAAGTTTTCTACTGGACATGTGAATGACTTTTCAAAGTCGAAACCAGTGACAAACATAAGGTCCAATGCAATTCCATATTTCGACTTTTCAGGAGTACGATTGTCTTGTTTTGCTTGAGTGTGGGACACATGCCACCTATTACGTGTTATGTACTATACTACAACACTGAATATTTGCATCCTAGCGCTCTTACTAAGAAACAGGATCCTTGGAATTGTATGAGTTACTAATTGATAATTATTTTAATGTCATATGTTGTCTCTTGTGGCACAGCAAGAGGTGTAAGAAATTATCGGCGTCAAAGGCAGTAATCCTGTACTTGTTGTTACACGTAGTCAAACATAATCGGGGCGGTGGGGTAGCCTAATGGTTAAAGCGTTGGCTCGTCACGCCGAAGACCCGGGTTCGAATGCCGACATGGGCACAATGTGTGAAGCCCATTTCTGGTGTCCCCCGCCGTGCTGTTGCTGGAATATTGCTAAAAGCGACGTAAAACCAAACTCAGTCAGTCAGTCAGTCAAACATAATCAATACGCCAAACATTTACCAAAAGTCATGTTATTTTCTTTTAGGTTTTGGATAGTAAGGGATCACTGTTAATGGTCTGTTAACGATGCCGATATGCTTATTGGTATACTACTGGAATAAAGTAACTGTGCATTATTTGATGTTATGCCATTTTTAATACAAAAAGATAATATTATGATTTTTTGTGTTTTCCTTAATCACTGTTAAACTGTTGAATGGATAATCTGTATTACATCGTGACACGCCCTTGAAGAATTGTGGTGTCAGTTCACAAATTCGGTATCGTGTGTGTCCACTATTGGCGTTGATGTAGGCTTGACAAAGACGACGCGCATACGACACTAAGCGATTGAAGAATGTGTGTGTCATGTCAATGTGTGTCCTCTTAATCACAGCGATGTATATGTGTGGTATGTTGAGGTTGTTTATGAAGCGGATGTATGTAGAAGTTCTGATGAAATACCGGTAACGTCCTATAAATAACCAATGGCTGTACAATAAATTAAATCGAACTTCTTCTTCTTTTCAGGGATACCAACCAATCCCAAATAATGCTCAGCCCTCGACGCAACTGGCGACTTTTTGCGTTATTAACTTGCGCCTTGGTACTGACAGCACTCGTCTACTCGAATACAGGATTCAAGGGACTTATCAATGAGAATGTAGTTCACGGCCTGAGAGATAAAGGCAAACCTTCGCCTGAATCTCATCACAGCGGCTCAGAAATACAATCCATTCCTGAGGAATATTTCGTTAAGCCACAATGGGAAAAGAAATATTTCATCTACGACTGTTCCCATGGTAACTGTGGTGGTCTAGGGGATAGACAAGAAGGAATTGTAGGTGCTTATATCATTTCACAAATATTAAGCCGGAGGTTCAAGGTCAACATGCTGGTACCATGTGATATCGGGAATTTCCTCCAGTCGAACAAAGTTGACTGGATTCTTCAACCTTCTGAAATAAATGGCCTGAAAAGTAGCAGGTACAACCGAATTGACCATGAAGCATTTAAACTACGTGAGAAAATTGCAAAATCTCTTGATTTAGAAAAAGAATTTCCTTCTGACGTCACATATTTTACTGTGAATCAGGAAATGGTTAACTATCTAAAGCTGCATCCGCTTTTTAAGACTCTTCGGTGGGCATATAATCAGACAACAACTGACATATACAATATTGTTTTACGACGGTTGTTTAGAATGAGACCTGAAATTCAAAAAAGGTTTGATGATTTCCAAACTTCAGCTCGTGACAAAGGGAGAAAACTCGTGTGTGCACATGTTCGAGTGAGGGGCAATCCTACTATTCCAACTGACTGGCACAGTCCCACACCCTTGAATGTTAGTGTAGTGTGGAACTTCCTTAGTCAGTATAACAACAGCGCTCTCTATCGAATGTTCGTGGCCACAGACTCTCAGAAAGTGCGACAGGATGCGAAGAGGTTGTTTCCTAGTGTCATCCAAGATTTGAAGGGGGATATCGTTCATGTTGATCGTGACAATCATGGAAAAGATTACGCATGCGCCGGTTTTGGTAAAGTGATTCTTGATCAACAGACGATGTCATCATGTGACGTATTCTTTATGACAGACAGTGGACTTGGCCGTATCGCATCCATGATGAGAGGAACAGACAAAGACCTGTACTGTATGGCTGGCAATTCCGCACACAGCAAGTGCTCTTTTGACGATAAAGGTTTCTTTCCCCAGCACTGGTAGGCGTGATAGATACCAGTTGTGTATCTGTTTGACGTCTTTTGTAGGAAACATTGTTACGACGTAAATTGTAATAAAAACGCAAATTGTAATAAAAATTGACGTAAATTGTTATACGCAAATTATAAAAAAACATTGACGTAAATTGTAATAATTTTAGTTGCGGTAATAACAGTTTTAATCATACGTAAATACGCGTGTACTCGTTTTTCGTTGAATTTCATAAATTTCATAAGCTTGTTAGGGCGATAGCTCAAGAAATGACTGATTTTGTTCAAATTTGGTATCAAGCTCTCTTGGCGAGATTCACCGACACCAGTTGAAGTTAGTGACCTGGATATAATTTGCAAGGTCACAGCAAAAATCTGAGTGATTTGCCACTATAAAGATTGTTAGCGCGGTAACTCAAGAAAGAAAAGTGTTTTTATATTGTATTGTCATTTATAGTTGAAATATTTTAGATTTAATTACTAGTTTTAAATTTATATCTGTGATAATCTAGTTGTTTTACTGTCCTTTGCAGACAAGTAAATATATTCTATAAATTTGCTTTTTTTTATTCCTTTATAAATTTACAACTTTTTTTTTTTTTTTTTTTGTTGTTGACATTTTACAAATATTTTACTTAAATTCCATGAATATTGTTTACAATTTGATTACAATAGCAAGCTGACACGAAATATTTAATTAAATACATTCAAAGCTGTTGTAAACTAAGTGAATTGAGTTTTACGCTGCTTTTAGCAATATTTCCGCAATATCACGGCGGGGGACACCAGAAATTGGCTTCATACATTGTATCCACGTGTGTAATGGAACCTGGGTTTTGGGAGTGGTGAGCGTATGGACCGGACGCTTTAAACGCTAGGCTAGCATGAGCTTTAACCTCGTTCATCCGTATGAGGAAATGATAATTTGAAAACTATGCAATTGAATATTTATGCAAGGAATTAAGTTTGTAACACACTTTCACACGGATTCAGGCGTAATATTTTTAGCAAGGAAGTTTGTCACTGTAGCCTCATATCAGTGCACTGCTTTGTACAGGTTACTGCTTTCGGTTGAGTAGCTAAGGTGATAACATAACTACCAAGTGAACACTTGACAGAGAATACATTGGGAGATTATAATATTATAGCAGAGCTTTCTGTTTCTCAAGCTTGTCGTGGATCTCGTCCTTATTTTCTAAGAAGACACAGGGTAAGGACACTTGATATGATAATAACTTACAGTTTGAAGTGACTCTGAAACCCATGACATGTTACAGAGCGAAGATTGACATTGGTGTTAATTCAGCACAAAATAGATAACATGTAGATGTGACAATGAGAGCATTATTTCGAAGTTCAGTCATATCAAGAGGATGAATATTAAGCATGGACACATACATGTACAGTTTGCTTCAATCATCTTTTCGGGTCTTGTTTCTAATTTGACTATAAAGATTCATTTTCTAACCGCATGTTTGTTTTTTTTTGTTTTTTTTTGGGTTTTTTTCAAACTGGGTTTCCTTTATTTCTTTTGAATGGCATGGCAAGACAGGTTAAATATAGAAATATGAACAACCTGGGTGTACTTAATTTCTTTTGAGTGGCATGGCAAGACAGGTTAACTATAGCAATATGAACAAACTGGGTTTCCTTAATTTCTTTTGAATGGCATGGTAAGACAGGTTAACTATAGAAATATGAACAACCTAGGTTTCCTTAATTTCTTTTGAATGGCATGGCACGACAGGTTAACTATAGAAACATGAACAAACTGGGTTTCCTTAATTTCTTTTGAATGGCATGGTAAGACGGGTTAACATAGTAATATGAAGAAACTGAGTTTCCTCAATTTCATTTGAATGGCATGGTAAGACAGATTGATTGTACAGTGATATGAAAGAATCGGGTTTCTTTAACATCTTTTGGGTGGATTAGCAAGACTGACAAGCAAGAATAAAAACTTTCTTAGTCACGATATGGCTGAAATACTGCCGATGTGACTTTAAATTTATTTCACTCTTAGTTAATCACCGAGGACGGCAAATAGAAAAAACCCCACTTACTTTGAACAATATCCTAACTGTGAAAATGTATGCAAGTTTATGTAATCGTAAACGTCAGACATTAGAGCCATAAAATTTGGATAATGTTTGTGCCGCTTTTTCTTGTTGAATCGTAATGGATCGCCACAATAGTTTCGGTTAGAAATGCAGTCTATTTATCTCGTTATTTATGACGCGTGAAGACGGTTTCTTGAAAACTACCATTGTTCGTTTGGTTGCAACCACTGGCTAGGTTAACATGAAAGGTATCGTAAACATACCTACACAATCACTAACCTACATTAAACGACTACCTCTCAAAATTTTGTTATTTATTAAAATCAGTATGACACCTTCCACCCTCCCGAAAAATCATGTCGCCTTGGAACTAATCACAGAATGTCCAGGTTACTGACAACAAACAAGGTTTACCCTCACTGCTTGTCTCACACAGTCCACGTCGAAGATATGATTAACAGTAAAAACTGCACGAGAATGGTTGAAACTGTAAATTTACTGTACATAAACAAAGGGGCAGGGTTCAAAGCACGAGCTTGAACATGAACCTTGGAAAGTTATAAATTGTTGATATACTGAAATAATACTGAAATATAACTGAAATAATACAATATAACGGTCAAAGAGAGCAGACCGACATGCACACACACACACACACACACACACACACACACACACACACACACACACACACACACACACACACACACACACACACACACACACACACACACACACACACACACACAGACATGCATGCGCATGCATGCGCGCGCACACACACACACACACACACACAGACCCACATACCGACATGCATGCGCACGCACGCACGCACGCACGCGCACGCACGCACGCACGCGCGCACACACACACACACACACACACATATTTGTTTAGCGCCGATATCCAGTACAACTGCTCAAAGGCGCTTTGTTTTTCCTCGATCATTGGATGTCAATCACAACGGCACATCGTATGTTCAAGCTCAACCCCCGGGGATTATACAACTCTTGTTGCCTACTAGGCGGACCGAGTCAATGTGGATTTCCCATCCTTACGAGGTATATATTTCCTTTAGATGAACATTTTATAAATATGTAGCTGATTTCATGTAACAACCATTCTCCCTCAACTCTGATCGATCATGTACTGTAATTAATACGTTCTTTTTAAATTTGGTCGAATGAATAGATAAGTATGATTGTTAGTGGCTGTACCCTCGGAGTGGGTTGAAGTAGCGAAAAATATTGTCGTCCGAAGAGGGTACTTAAGTCCACATCATTCCATGTTTGTTGATCATTGCCAGAATTTTACTCGTAGAATGTTTGTAGTTCTAATGTATGGCTTTGCCAAAATTCGTCAACAGCCGAGGGGATGATATATATCCAGATAGGGACCATGCAGGTAGCAAAAGTAACGTAAGTCCCCATGGCCCATAGCATGGCGATGTACCTTCAGTTGCTGGCGATCTATAGCCCGATTTTATATTGTGTTGTTTTGAAATGATTTAGCATTTTACACTGAACTCAAACTAGTTTCTATTAATCTTGTCGTTATACTGTCCTTGGCTGACAGGTTATTAGAAAGTATATAATAGTCTATATATTTATTCTTAGTACATACCTTTTTTTGTCGTCGTGATATGGCTGAAATATTGCCGATGTGACGTAAAATTTTAACTCACTCACTTGCACACTTCCCCCCTGAAGTTTGCGAAGCATTTATTGCAGATTTTGCGTTTTGGGGGAGTACGAAGATAAAAAGTCAAACAAAATGGGGATCGTGAGGCTGGAACTAGTGTCAATATAGCCACTTACTTCAGTCAACTGTTCTAAACTAGATCTTGCAAAATATTCCATACTGTTTAAAGGCACTGTTTACACAGGAACTGATATATTGTAACACAAATTCGTAATATTTAAAAGATTATTGTCATGAGTGAGTGAGTGAGTTTGGTTTTACGCCGCTTTTAGCAATATTCCAGCAATATCACGGCGGGGGACACCAGAAATGGGCTGAACACATTGTACCCATGTGGGGAATCGAACCCGGGTCTTCAGCGTGACGAGCGAACGCTTTAACCACTAGGCCACCCCACCGCCCCTATTGTCATGAGTTCAATAAACTTTACACCGAAACGTACCTGTTCACATAAACGATATTTGCACATGCTTTTCAGCAATTTGATGCATGATCCACATGCAACTCATCTGCATAAGGTTTGCAGTTGCTTCCCCCAAATTAGTTTAGAAATCAATCTTCGATGTAACCACATATATACTCAGCAGCAAAAAAACCCGTCAGTACGAATTCAAAATTAGATAGGCACTGTAATCAAATCATTACAGAAATTGACATAATAGCGGATCAAAAACATGTTTTTGTGTACAATATCTTGACACATCAATGAATAACTCAGATTTCAAGACATTACGTGAACGTTTGCAGTCCATTCAGAGTCTTGACTTCAGTATCTAGTGTGACCACCACGAGCGGCAATAACTGCAGCACAGCGTCTGTGCATGGAGTGCACCAATCGATTGACGAAGGCCATTGGCACCTTGAACCACTTTCTGAGAAAGGCCTGGCGCAATAAATCGGCTGTGTTCGGCCTTGGTATGACATTATTCAGTCTCCTCTGAATTTCATCCCAAAGATGTTCAATTGGGTTTAAATGAGGAGGAAGGGCTGGCCACTGCATAATGTTGACACCGTTGTGCTGTAGGAAGTCCCGTGTAGCTCTGGCAGTATGGGCCCGGGCGTTATCATGCTGGAAAATGTTGTTCCGGTGACGTGCGAAATGTGGTATGACATGGGGTCTTAGAGCTTGGTCGATGTAGCGCACCGCTGTGATGCCGCCCCCTCTCCTTGTACCAAGGTTCTGGAACACCACAGGACCCACTCTCTGATTCAGGCCTATTCCACCCCATACCGTGATGCTTGCACCTCCCCATGAGTCTCTTTCCATAACACATTGGTCTGAGAAACGCTGGACACGTCGTCGCCATATTCTTGTTCTGCCATCTCAGACTCTCATCTGTGAACAGAACATTTCTCCATTGCCTATATCGCCAGTTTTGGTGTTGTAGGGCAAACTGTAGACGTTCACGCCGATGACGAGGGGTGAGGATAGGTCCACGGTAAGGTCCACGGCAATGGAGGCTCCCGCTGTTAAGACGTCGGCGTACTGTATCAGTACTGATTGGTCGTCCGTGTGTTCCCACTGTCTGGCGTGCTGTTTCGGATGCCTGCATGAAGGGATTCTGTACATGCTGTCGCACAAAATGGTGGTCTTGTCGTCTTGTGGTCATCCTTGGTCTGCCAGTACAGGGGCGATCATTTG